AAAATATAAAACTAAAAATATAAAATAAAGATATAAACCAAAAAAAATATAATTAATTAAAATTATTATAATATATATTATAAAGTGAATTTATATATTATTACTGGTAATAATATCAAATTATTTAATTTATCATTAAATTTACAGAATTTATATATAATAAAAATAATAATAAATTAAATTATAAGATCAAAAAAATTTAAAAAATAAATAATTTTTCAAAAAATGATAATAAATTAAAATTTTATATAAAACTATTTTTTGTATTTTAAGAAAAAATATTTCTTGTAAGATTATATCCTAGAATAACTTATTAATATTTTTAATAAGATAATTATATCAAAAAACTAAAAAATTTTTCACAAAAAAAATCTGATACTATTAAGCATAATAATAAATATATTTTTTCTATATTATAATAATAAATTATTTATTTTATAATATTAATATATATTTTATAAGTATTTAATAATAATATTAGTATTATAAATAAAATATTAAAAATTTAAATTTAAATTTAAAAAATTATAATATATAATAATAACTCTTATAATTATAATATTAAAAGATTAATTTTATTAATAAAATATAATAAATATTAAAATTTTCTCTTTATATTAAACTTTATAATTTTATTAAAAAATAATTTTTATTTTTATATCAAAATAAAGTTTATTAATTATAAATAATTTAATATATATTTTTTTCTGAAAGAGTTATTCTAATATAAAGTTGATATAAAAATTTTCACTAATTAAAAATAAAATTTAATTAATAAAATTTTTATATTTATTTTATAATTAAAATATTTCTTTCAGAAAAATCTAAAAAATCTGAAAAAAATATATATTAAACTATAATTAATAAACTTTATTTTGATATAAAAAAAATTTTAATATAGAGAAAATTTTGATTTTTATTATATTTTATTATTAAATTTAGCTCTTGATATATAACTTTTAATTATTACTATATATTAATATAATTAAATATTTTTTAATATATTAATATTACAGTAGTATTATATTTTTAAAAATAATAAATTTTTCTTTAATATAAAAATAAATATATATTTATATTAATTGAATTAATATTAATTATAAAGTAAAAATTTAATTAATATAAATTATATTCAAGTGAATTTATTATTTCTTGTTTATATTAATAAAATATTTTTATAATTTTTCTTGTCAAGTTCTTTTAATTTTTATCTTTCTAATTCAAGATATTCTTTAATTTTTTTTCTTTATTTTAAAATATTCTAAAGAATTATAATATAAATATATAAAATATTTAAATATTATTATTATTATATATTTGAAGTAAATTAATTTTTCAGCAGTTGATCTGTTTTTTAAAAGAGAATCTTAATATTTTTTTAATAATAAATTTATATTATCTAAAAATATAATTGGTATTATGAATTATATTTCTTTATAGATATCATATATAAAATAATTATTATGATTTTGCTAAATAACTATTTATTTGTATATAATTATTTCAAGATTACAAATATTTGCAATGTTAGTGTATGATTTTTCATTTAGCATCTTTGAACTCATAAAAAGATATTTCACAAATTTCTTGATTAGATTTTCTTTATTTATTAAAATACTAAGTTCAAAATTAGTAATTTGAAAATATTTATATACTTAATATAATATCTTCTTCAAAAAATTTTCTGTTTAAAATAACTCACATTATTATTGAAAAAACAAATCTGACACAAGTTATGAAAATGTAATATTATAAGAAAACAAATGCCTTGGAGTACTAATTAAAAATTTCATACAATCTTTTTCTTTAATCTTCAATCTTATAAATTTAGGGAGATTGATCACATGATCCACAAAACTTTTAACTCCTCGTATTTGGTAAAACGTCATACACATAGATCATCACCAATTAAGTTGATATCTATATATTGATAAACATCACGTCCGGAACAAAAAGTAAGCTATAAATGAGCACCATCTAAGATTAATTAAAAAATTACAAATAATGTTAATTTTTCTTGAGCCAGAGGAAAGGTACTTTGTTTGGGGGTGAGAAGCGAGTAAATCTTATTACACTAATTTAGGAATAAGCATTACCTATGCTGATTGAATGACGCTTATTCCCGGTTGAATCCGATAGATATTCATACCACTATTATGAAGTCCAAAAAACGGTAGTCAATAGTGCTTATTTCCGGTATGTAGATTATAAAATACCATACGCATAATACATGTAGTTGATTATGTGCGCATTCATAACTGTAAATCATTTGCCGTATAACAGTTTCAAGATTTTTGTTATATCATTATGTACATAAAAATTCAGTTACAGATAATTTGCAATAGAATCTGCAAAATAATGGTTTAATAATACATGTATTTAATTTAAAATACTTTCTTAAATTGGGCTTTGTATACTGTATGACTATCGATGAAATTCATATTATTGCGTATTAGATTTCGATTAATGTTTTAGATACTTTCAAATTTAAGAACGTTTTATAATATTTGATGATTTTTGATATAATAATCAATATTAAATATAAATCGAAGCTTATCTATTTGACATGCACATGGGGTTTGCTAATTCTAATTATATAATTTCTGGTTAATAACTTTAACGTCACTAAAGATTTCATATTTTTTCTTTATCTTACTATAAATTAAGATACTATCTAAATATATAATTATAAATTTATCTAAAGAATTATGAAATATATTATTTATTAAGATCATAATTGGCATTAGATTGATCACAGATACATGTATTACGCAGATATTTTTGTATTTATCATGTGAATGGCAGATTGCATTTATTGACACAAAATTTCAAGTTAATTTGACCGATTAGTAATCAATCATATGTAATACATGTATGTGAGGCATGATAAGGGGGGCTGTCTTACCATCCATTTGATGCATTTGATGACATGGTATCGGCACATACCGATTATGCAATTGTTAACACCTAAGCTGTACAATGCATTCATTCATCAAGCAGATCTACTTGTATTCTTGATGTATATGTGCATGTATAATAGAAAATACGTTTGTATTTTTAAATTTTAGACGTTACAACACAGTATAATTATATGTGTTCGTATCGCATATTAATTTGAACCGGTAAGATCCTAAATTTGCACTGTGGCACTTAATTTTTTGCATATCATACCACACCCTGTATAGTTATACCCGCAACCGCTTAAAGTCTGACGACTGCATGCTGTATTATATCTTTATTGAGGAGGATTTTTGTTAGCAAAAATATTAAAAAATTCTCATTAATTTAAAATAGTTAAGGGGCCTTGTTAAAAGATCAAACTTAAGATGAAAGTGAATCTTTAATAGTTGATTCGAAGAAGAAACATTAGTCATTAATTAAATGAACTTTGTCACTACAAGAATTACAAGAATTGAAATTTATAATTCATTTAATTTAAAATTCATGTACATATCGTGCGATTTGAAAAAGCATCAAAAATGGTTTATTCATACAGTCAACTAATTCCCAAATGTAAATGCTTTTTAAATATCCGCTTTTGGTTGGTTCCACAATTTATAAGGCCTCTGATTATTACACCTCTGCAATCTCTTTCGAAACTTATGTTAGTCAGATGGTCCTGATGAATTGCATTTAAGGGAGCTGATTGTATTATTTTGTTTTACATTACAGTCCATATAATAACACATTTTTGAATACAAAAGTACGGGTCAAATATCCGAGGGTGTGATTAAATAATGTGTTGTTGCATAGAGGTATAACTTGTGCTAGCATAATAAAAATTTTCTATTCGTTCTTGTTAGGAACTTAAAATTTAGATTGCTTTGTTTTAACTCAAAGAATTAAAATTAACCGATTTCAAGAAGCCAATTTTATTTGAATTCTATCAAATAGACAACAAATATTTGGATCTCACATGATATTTATCAATTTAAACGATCGATTTTAAAGAATATAAAAAAGCTATTTTTATAAATGCATTCTCGTTATATAATACTTGACTAATCCTTAAATAATCAATAGATCTGAAAAATTTGAAAATAACACGCTTTTCCCACGCATCTTTTAATTCCAAATTTAGAATCTAATTAGGATTTTTTTTTGTTTTTTTAAATACATGTACTGCATTTTTCGATAGTGACGACGATCGATCGTTAGGTAACGGTAATTAAAATAAACTCGTGAATTATGTCATACCGATACGATTTCCTTAAAAATACCACTGGTTAAGATCTTCTATGGTTGGCTTTAAAAAGGTAAATCAATCGGGTAGCTAGAGTCTTCGTCCGCAAAAACCTCCTTTAATTATTGAGTTTCGGTATTTCTAGGGTTTAATTATTATAAGTGATCGTTTTAAAATAGGATACACATTTAATTGAAACCGATACCGATACGATACGACATTCGCATAATAATTCAATTGGAAGTACACATACTGTAAATTATAATCTGCATTACATTAAAGAAAATACAGATCCCATTTATTATCCAATAAAATGCAAGAATATAGTGTCGATGCCTTGTTTACCATTGAAAAATTAATTTTTTATTTTAAGGTCTAATAATTTGTCCATCGTATGCATTGGTTTCGTGAATAGATTTTGGTAAGTTTTCTTGTGTTTCAAAAAAAGATCCTTTCATAAGGTAAAATCGACTACTCTATTTTAAATTTGTTTATTAGAAATCAATAAACTTAAAAATAAAATGTCATTTTTTTACTTGTTATTTACGAAAAGATGATTTCTAATTATTTTTATGTTAGATTTTGTGGCAAAAGAATGAACAGATAAATAGACGAGTCTTTCATTTTTTTTTATTTGCCTTTTTGCAAAAACATTAATTTAATTTTTCGCTGAACAAAAGGCCAATCGAAAAATTATAAAACAGCTTTTGCCCGCATAGCTTATAAATTTTGCGAAATTATTATCGATTACTTTATATCCACATTCATTTATCAGCAAATCCGAGCCTTCTTTAGATATTCTTTAGCAGGAAAGAAAATGTCATTTTCTCTTTTGAATTCCTTTAAAAATCCGGAAGAAAAATTCACAGCCTTCAAACCTGATTTTCCCCCAAAATTGACGGCTGAAGAATTAACATCGATAGCTCGCCGAAATGTTAGGAAAGCTGGTAAAGCCGCAAAAATCCCTAATGTTTTTTTGGTCTATCGCATCGAAGTTAAAAATCAATTAGCTCAAAATAAACTTTATCCCGGGATGCGCGAACTTTCCACTATTGCTTCAAATCTTTGGAAACAAGAACCTGAATATGTTAAAGCGGAATATAATCGAATTATGGTTGATGCACAAAGTAGACTTGAAGAAATAAGCAATGGTTCTCTTCCGATGCAATTTGTCAGACTACATCGAGTAAGAAATGAAAAAAATTCGAAAAATTCAAAATCATCTTCGTCTAATCCGAATATTGAACATATGAACAATCCACTAATACATTCCGATACGCAAGTTAATCTGTCTCAGTTCTCATCCACAAATTATTCATTATCCAATGAAGTAACACCACCACAGAATGGCGTACAAAATTTGCTACCTCTTATAGAGGGAAATAAATTGTATGATGAGACTTCTAATCAAGTCTTTGAGCAAGACAGTCTATTTATGAATGAATATAATGCTGCATCGCCAAATTTGAGCAATTTTGTGTCTCCAAATCCCCATTTCAATCTCACAAGTCAATTAGAAAATTTTGAGCATCGTTTGATTAATTTGGAAAATGCCGTGAGATCCTTGAGTCCTTCATACTTCCACAACGTTAATAATGGAATTTCAGCAAATTTTGAGGAAAGAGTTTCATATTTGGAGAATTTGGTCGCTTTATTATTAATTGAATGATAGCAACAATATAATTCATAGGAAATTTTTGTTTTTTCAAATTATGATTTATCTCAAACATACTAAACTACATTTAATTTTATCAATTAATTATTCGTTTTTAATATTAGTTTAATTTACTTGTTAAGTCAATTCCTTAATTATACATTATAATAAGCCGAAATATTTATGCTAAAATGATTTTTTAATTGGTTTGAATGCCTTTTCGTCGTCATGTAGTTCGAATTATAGCTATAAGTTTTTATAAATACACACTTTCTTTAGTTTTTTCAGTTCTTATTATCTTCAAAAATTTATTAGAAACTTTAAGAAATGCAAATTGCTTATTTGCAGTGAAATAAATACGATTATATCTCAATATATACATAACAGAGAGGCAGATTTATTAAACCAAGTCTTTAAGTATCATCCGATAATTAAAGCTTTGATTCATAAAACAAAATATTTGTAATATCATGGCAGATATTATTTTAATATAGAGAATATCTCTCCCTACCTGAGTTTAAATATTATTTGTTATAATATAATTTATTAAGATCTGAGATTTTGCCAGACTCACTTTCACTTGCAATATGAGGCAATATATTATGTCACTCCCCTAATTAAATCATATCGACATTCAGAATTTAAGATTTTATCAATTTATTTATAAGCGCTTGAGATGTATTATTCGACTTTCAGCTTCAATGATCAGCCAATTTCTGCGAATATAACTTCGTAATTGAAGTAAATGAGAATACATGATTTAAGAATATTGTGGACACTTTTAAAATTTTGACGTACTGCGGCTTTTAGGTGCGATATCTCGATACCCCAGTGATCGAAATACTACCATTCGATCCATTTAGTTATGGCGAATCAAATGGTGGTATTTTCATGCGATACCAACGACTAGGTTTCGAGATATAGCGTACCGTAAAGCGCTCTGTATATTACCCCTCACCTGGAAAAAATTTAAAAAATTCAAACCTTAATTTAATCCATATTTTTTAATAAAATTGTTTTTTATTCGCAAATAAATAAATTTAAACACAGCATAATTTCTTAAAAACCTTAATTAATAGCTTACATAATAAATTTTATACGTGATAAGGAAAGCGGCGAAACCCAATAATGAATAAAAAGATGGCCAATAGATTTTCGATATTACATAACCGCAGAGGAATTTAACCTGAATATGCTGAACATTACAGTTAAAAGTTTTTTACATATTGATTATCGCGAATCAAGATTTTACCAATTTATTTTGCTTTACTGACTGCCCCAAATATGAAATCTCCTGTTCTTTTTCAATACTCAATGAAATTGACTCTGTATAAAAGTCTTTGTGCGAAATTTGTTAAAACATTATTTCCATGTCACTTTTAGTAAAACTCAATACACAAATAATGAAATTAATCAATTATGATATAAATTATAAATAATTTTTTATATAATGTAAATTAATAATATTATTACGAACGAATGACAACATTGTAAATTGTTTCAAATCGCTGTTTTACGATATTATTGCCAAAATAATCGAGAATAGTAGCAATATAGATATGAAAATAAAGCTAAGATAAATGGAATCGTTCAAGGTGAGAAATATCCAATAATCGAAACAATTTGTTGCTGAATCTCTATCTTAAATCTATATCCTAAAAAGGAGATATTTTTTATAAATGACGATACGTAATTACTGCTGGCAAAGCATTTTACATATGTAAATCTGTGAAAATGATTACGAGATAAAATACACACGGATTTAATAATACATGTACGTCGAAAGGATAGTCGAACATGCTGATCACAGATACAGTGGTGTTCAAAAAAAATGGCACAAAGAAATTTCTTTCTAACTTGTCACATATTGCTCCAAATAATATAATTTAGACTTTATTTGAAAGCTTAAAAGGTGCTAATTATTGATTTATTATTTAATATGGGATGCGATCACCATTATTTTCTATAATTAGTTCACATCGATGCTTCATCGAATCTACTAAATTAATTAGGACAGTATTTGGAATGTTGTTCCACTCTTCAGCCATAAACTGTTCCAATTCCTTAAAGTTGTTTGGTTTACGCCTTTCCACATTTGTTTTAACAATGTTCCAAAGGTTTTCAATAGGATTAAGGTCAGGACTGTTGGAGGGCCAGTCCAAAACCATTGGAACATTGTTTTGGAGAAAGTCCTTTGCAGTACGCGAAGTATGCTTAGGATCATTATCCTGTTGGAAGCGCCATCTGCTTCCCAACAGTTCTCTTATTTCTGCAAGGTATTGCTCTAATATTGTAACATAAAAATTTGTATCTATGATATGGCTGAAGCAAAAAGACTGGTCTTCTCTTTTGCACAGAAACTACCCCATGCCATTATTTTACATCGATCTTTTGGCTGCTATCCAGGTCAGGAAGTCATAGAAAAAATTCTTTCCCTAGGGGAGCCACCTCGCAGGCTAGCTCAAATAGAAAGTCAAGGGATTCCTCCTCAGCCAGGAGATCTTATTTTTCGCTCATTCACCTCTGGCATTGGACGTATTGGCCTTGACCCTTTATACCAATGTTTAGTTGTGTTCTGAAACAATTGGAATGATGTTTTATCGGTAAAAATTGTCCATTTCCAATTGTCATTTAAGTACTTTCTGGCCCATATTACCCGATTTTCTTTATGAGCCTTTGTTAGCATTGGAGTGGTTAGGGGAAGGTTATTTTTATAATCATGTTCAGTCAAATGACGTCCTACAGTTATACGAGAGACCATAGTTCCTTCCTCTTTTAACTTACTCGCAATTAATTTAGTAGAAATGGTCGGGTTTCTTCGAACGTACTGGCCAATTCTACGAGTATCAATATTACATATGATTTTTTTGCGACCATTTCCCCCTCTGTGCTTTACATCTCCTTTTTCTTTAATTTTTTTTAAGTTATAATAGATTGTTCTTATTGGAATCTTGGTCAATGATTATATTTTAGGGGCTTCGCGTATTCCCTTCTCCCAATAATATAATATCGTTTGTCGTTGTCTTTCTCTAACGGACTGAGACATTTTATACTTTTGTTTTGGGTAAAGCGCGAAGTAAGTTGAAAATAAGTTTGTTTGTAAATAATAGGCCATTACATAAGCTTTGTTTTGATCCATTGATTACGCGTTTATTTTGAAAATTGACCGAGTTACACATGTACGAATTATTTATAAAATTTGTGCCATTTTTTTTTGAACACCACTGTATGTAGAATGATAAAAATGACAGGACATTATAAATGTATACCGTATTTTCGCGCGTAGTTTTAAGTAACTGCGCAGCATTTTTGGTACGCGCATATGCGTTATTTCGAGACAAAGGGCCGATTTTTTGTTTTAAAAAATTTTCGTAGAATTGTTATATAATTGGACTGGGCCAAACTAAGGAATTTATAAGATCCATTACAATACCATTATTCCATAAATTCTCTAATTCCCGAAATTATGGCAATATCTACCGGCTGCGTTTGTGGCCCTTTAAGCTGCACATTTTCAGCATGTTTTTCAACCAACCAGTCGCGTAATTTTTCAGCATATTTCACGATCGTCCACATTTTTCAGCACAATCGTTCGTATTTTTTTAGCACGATCGGTCACATTTTTCTACATAATCGTTTGCATATTTCAGCACAATTGCCATATCTTTCAACACAATCCTTTTTTAGTTATATTTATCATTTTATTATTATGTTGTCGCGTTTTCATCGATGTAATAAGAATTATATGACAATAAATAGATTTAAAGTAGTATTTCTTTAAGTTAATAGAAAAAGCTAACAAAAAAAATGTATATAAGGGATGGCTCTTGGGCCTTCGATTAAAGATAAATTTGCGTACAATTTTCTCCAAATAATAAAACATTGTTAAAACTCTTCGTAAAAGCATTGTGATTATATCGTAATCATATTTGTTAGATTCTTTGTGCCAGAAAAGACATAGGTCCTTTGATCCAGAAAAGCAAACGCATCATTGGAAATTTATTGATTGATTTGAATAATAAGAGTTTAAGGCTTTTAACTAGAAAAAGCATCATTTAGAATTAGAATAGCTAATAGTCAGCATAATACCTTTTCTCTCTCTCTTTCTTCACGAAATATCTTACCAAACACGAACTTCTATTTTTCCAATTCCCACGCTTAAATAATCCTGAAATTCTCACAATTCCACGCCCAAATCCCTACTATTCACTTTTTTGCTTGAGACTGTTCGATCAGGTGAGTTTCGCTAATAGTATCCGTGTTTCTTTAACGAAGCCAATCACGTGATTCAAACTCCTGCTGAATCACCTATTTACTTTTGATAGGGTCGTTAGTCCCGCCAATAGAAGGTGTATTAGTAAGACAGTGTTTATTTATTATAATTGAGTCAGTTGATATGATACTTTTATAGTCTCTTCATGGACACTCAATCAACTTATTTGCGATAGTCTTTTTGATTAAAGATATGGATGTTTTCTTTTTCTTTTTACAAATAAATATAAGATTTATTTCATTATTTAACTTGATTTTTTACATTTAAAAGTGTATTTTATTTTCCTACCTAAAACTTAATCTTATCTAAATAAAACCTTAATCTAAGAAAAACCTATCATTTTCCATCGTGACGAATCACCTTTATAAGTGATTCGTTTCGCTACTCCTTTTTCTCATTCCCATCATCCATTATCACTCCACCCATTGTCTATAGAATTGTTAGATCATGGCTCGTTCGTGATATTATCATCCAACATCTACTCCCTATGGCTTGAGAACAATTCCCGTAACTAACTGCCCCGTGATTTCAGATCCCATGTAGCGTCATGTGAATTATAGTTTTATCATGAATCTAATCGTAATTTCATGGTGTATCAACGTTCTTCCTTTAAACCGCATACACTGAACGCTATCAGTAGATATCGGCACAAGAATTAGATTTACTTTGCGCTGTTACAATACCCTCCAATTTTAAAAATCAATAAACTTTTGATTGAATGAATATTTTTAAAATTATTTATAACTATGACATAAAGGAAGAGGTATATCAATTTTTAAATGGCGTGACACGCGCTGTATTTCAATTATTTCAATACTCTTATTATATTAAAATACGGTTTATTGACAGGAATTTTTTTTTAAGTATCACTGAAGTAAATTTTAAATTTTTTATGTAAAATATTAAACATTACACAATATCTTTATTATCTGTAATGCGAAACGATCATGTGAATTCCACGATACACGGCACTAAGCCGAAATTGCATTAAGCCGAAGTTTTTCTGGCTTACCAAATTTTTTATTATATATAAATTCGGCTTTGTGCGAAATTTAGTAAAACGAAGTCTCGATAAGCCGAATAAATTGTCTCTGCCCCCGACCTTCGTCTTATCGAGTTTGTCTTGTAATAATCAAGTCACTAAAGGAAGGCCAGCCAAAAAGATAACAATAGTAAGACCAAAGGTAACTATTATCGCTGCATTAATAAATTAATAATAAAAATTAGTTTTAACTTACCATTCATGTGTTATTTTTAGAAAACTAAGAGTCCAGAGATCAATTATTTGCGAAATCATTGCCATGTATTAGACTAGTTTATATAATAGAATAATATTGGAATGATATTGGTAATATTGTAATCGTTAAAATGAATTGAAGGAATGTTAGAATATAAATTTGAATAAAAAAATGATAAACTTCTTCAAGAATTTTGGTTGAGAATTGTTCAAGGAGTCATTTTCAAAGATCTCGTGGGGATTTCGTTTCGTTGAGCGGAGAGCTGATTCTCGTCGATAAATTGCTTGATTGACTCGGATACAAGGGGATTAATAAAGAAGCCACTTTTAGCTGTCATTTGAAACTGTTTGCTACTGATGTTGCCATTAGCAACGGCCAATAAACTTCTTTGACTTATTTTAACAAATTCAAAGAATTTCTCTCTGACATTTGAAGGCTCTTCTTTCTATGCTTTACACAATTTCTAGTATTGTGTTTCAGAATTTCCTGACCACGATATTTTCGATAAATCATAAATGCATTAGGTGACTTAACCAACTTTTTTCTTTAGGTTTGAGAAATTCTTCTACCGAAATTTTTGAAGGAATAAGGAGTTTTGTTCTTACCGTTACCTCTTAAATAAATTCACAGCGAAAGCAATGGCGAATGGTTTGAGTTTTTTCCGGGCATAGCATTAGAATTTGCTCAATTTTGGAGGACAGTTAAAAGAGAGGGTAGTTATGTGATTTTTGGTAATGATAATATAAATATTGTACTATGATTTTTAGGATCTCGTATCTTCAAATAAAATTACTACAACAACGACAATATATGTTATCGTTACGTATGGTAAAAAAATCTGGTTCGGTTGAATTTGACTGGTTGATCAAGCTTTTAATATCAGTTGTCATTATCTTTTTGCCTTATTAAGTATAATGGACATAAAATGGGGAGTTGATTGATAATTAGAAACTCTCTAATCTCTTATAGTGCTTGCGAGTACTGATACTCATTCATTGATTTCCTATTTCATTTAACGTTAAGACTAAAAAATCACATGTACTATTATTACATGTATTTTGATCAGTACATGTGAAAAATTAGTAATAAAATAACTAGTCATCTAAAAAAGCATCCGAACATGAACACCAAAAAATGTACGACACCATAAAGCAAATTCGTTTAAAAACATAACTAACACCCCTAAAGAAATAAATGAAACCAATCCTAAACCGGTTTCCTGTCTTATCGTAGTATGAGATAGCCACATGGAAAAAATAAAGCTTTTACAATATATATGTATATCAACTCTCTTAATCTGTCCTACGTGTATAGGTTTGTTTCACCCCCCCCATATACATTATGTACATGTACAATGCTCACAGAAAGTATTGTCCGATTCAAAATTATATAGTAAAACATATAAAATTTCAAGCTATATACATATTCATATTTTTTCTACTAATTATTTCGAAATTTTATATCATTTTAAAGCTCATGACTTATATTTTTAGACAAATGATTCCAAGTTGTGAGAGACTTAAAATGAAAAAACCATTTTGATTTTAAAAGAAAAAATTTTTTTTCCCACGTTTTACGTATAAAAAAATTGAAATTTCCAAGCTATATAATACCATTATAAAGTTAATCAATTAAAGTTTCAAAAATTGATTCCTAACCGTGGGAGACTTAAGATGCAAGGACTGTTTTAATTATAAAATCATGAAAAAAATTTTATATATACTGTATTTTATTATATAATTTCAAATCGGGCGATACTTTCTGTGGATATTGTACATGAACATTGTACATGTACATATTTTCTAATGTAAGTACATTGATAAGTCATTTATGACTTCCTTGATATAGAAAAATTAATTTTAGCCTAGAGTTATTAAACTAATTCTACGAAATCCCATCTGTTTGACCATCGTGATGCGACAGAATATTTATCGTTATACTTTAAATCATCGAAATCGTGAAAGCCGTCGAAATCTTTTTGACAATTGACTGATGAAAAGGAAACATGCCGTCAAATCTGAATTATTTGCAACATATTCAGGAGAGTTCTGAACTGCGATAAATTTTCTTGTTGAAAATTTGTCAACTAGATCTTTGTGATTTAGTTCTTTCCGCTTTTGGGAATATTGATCTTTAATTTCATTCAATCCCAAAGCTTTTCACTAATAAACTAATTATTTTTTTGCATGCGCGCGGTACATAAAATACGCATTAATTTTTGTCATTAATCTTCAATAGAATAATAACAAAAAACTTCCGAGGAAAGTTCAACTATCTAGTTAAGGCAATATTTACAAATGACTCTCGACACAAGAAAGGTATTCAGTCTAATTAATCCTCTCGTCATAAGAAAATTTATTAAAATTCTCTTGATAAAAGAAAGATTTTTTATTGGACCTGACGACTTTTTCATATCAAAAGTCATTTGTGCATCTTTATACTTCCGAGTAGAGATAGGCAAATGCGCGCATAGTATATACATGTAATACGCCTAATGATCTACGTGTACATATATAGTAATCAATCAAATACGCGACGCGAATTCATAAAAACTAATGATGATTTTATTTTCTATAACTATTATATACATTTATCAATAATTATCACTATCACTCAATGTTTCTAATATATCATCACTATTATCTGATGTATTAAATTGTTCATTATCATTACCATCCTGATATTCACTTTCATTATTATCCTGATATTCGCTTTCATCACTTTCA